CGTCTTCCCTGCGTCTCCCATCATTTTTCAATTGCCAGTCCACCACACAGGATAATCAGGCAATCAAATAAGAAGTGGATGGTTTTGATATTAAAAATGGGTAGAAATTTTATAAATAAAAAATAAATGACAACAGAACAAAGCAAGTTTTTTAGCAGCAAAATATCCCCTACTCCCTTTTTCTAAAATTTGAGTCCATGCTTTATAATAATAATAATTTATTTGCGGTCACAGACCAAAACACAAGTACAACAAAAGAAGAACATGCGAAAATTAATCATGAACAATTGGTCACCAAAAACTTGACTAATTGTACTATTCTTGTGAAGAGGTCTCGCTGAATGCTACCCTTGAACCAAACGAGAAAAGTCTGCCTTGGAAACATTTAGCATCCACCTAATGGCTGCCCCTGAGAAGGGCACGTTTACGTTTGGTTAAAATGAATGATAGCAATCTAAGAGGGGTAAAACCAAAGGTGCCTACATCTTTTTTTTGTTTAATTTTTTTTTTAGACACACATACACAAACAAAACAAAAACATAAAGCCATCTTCCAATTACGTACATACAGTGTCTCGGTTGGTTACAAATTTTTTGTGCATTTTCTCTATAGTCCTCACTTACAATTGTTTGTATATATTCTCATATTATCAATCAAATATTTCTGAATACATTATTATTATTGTTAATCATTCATTTGACTATACTCTTATTCCTTCATGTTATGCGAGATATTCCATATTTTTAAATTGATTCATATTATAACAATTCATATTATCATCCTAAATCCATCCAGTAATTACATCTTTATAGTATATTCTATATAATTCTATTCTCCTTATACTGTAAAATTCTACATATTTCATTACCATATTTTATTTTCTAACCATTGATAAAATAGATACCAAATCTTATAAAATTGTTTGTCTTCTTGTTCTTTAATTTCTAATGTCAATTTACTCATTTCAGCACATTCCATTATTTTCTTAATAACTTCCTCCTGCATTGGTATTTTCTCATTTTTCCAATTTTTAGCAAATACAATCTTAGCCGCTGTTAATACATTTACAATCAAATATTTCAATTCCCTACTGTATAATTCAGGTAAGATTCCCAATAAAAACATCTCTGGTTTCAAGTCTATGTGTTTCTTTGTCATTTTTTCCAACTATGTGTGGATTTTAGTCCAATATCTTTTAGCTTTTGCACACATCCACCACATATGGTAATATGAACCCGGTATCTGATGACATTTCCAATATTTTTCAGATTTATTCTTGAACATTCTTGCTATTCTTGTTGGGGTTAAGTGCCACCAAAGGTGGCTACATCTTTAGCAGGTCCCTTTTGCAAAAGCATAAGGATAAGAGCGATGTTTGTGGTCTGATTGGAGGGTTTGACATGATGAGATCTGTTCCTAGATGACATCCGAAAACAGCAGGGGAGCAACTATGAAATCAACTTTCCATCCTGGTGAGACTGAAACCCTAGGACAGAGCAGTCAAACTCGCAGCCTACGGGCCAGATGAATCACGCACTGGCCATGCCCACGCCTGGTTTAGCAAAACGGGGAAAGTCGCGATATGCCACGTGACAACGCTGTGACATGAGTTTGACACCCCTGCCCTAGGAAGTAGAAGCTGTGCAGAAAGCCAAGTTGTGGCTTTAAGAGATGTGCTGCTAAAATAGATCTCATAATTAACTTAAATATTAAGAGCACTCGAAATGAAAATATTCTTCTTTCTGTTTGGGGTTGGTATTGTAGTGGGAATCCTTGGCTGTTATCCTGTTATGATTCTAGGCTGAGAGATTTTCAAAGGAATACATCCTTTCCAAGTACTTGATTTTCTTGTTAAATATCTTACGTTTATTCAGCCTATGGGAGAAGAGTAGGATTTACTGAACCATAGACAGCAATTACCTTAGTAGTTGGGAATAAACAATGTCATATTTCATAATCTGTTATACAAAAGGGAAAATTAAGAACTGAATAACTATTAAATGTCAGTTCTCGGGTCTTGTTTTATCTCTAAGAAGAATGCAGTTTTTCTCTTTTTAATGCCAAATTTAAGTGGAACTCATTCACAATTTGCTTATAGAAAAGGGAACCAACTTGGCTTGCGGTTATACCAAGAGGTTTAGAAGGGTTCAATTAGGGATCCTGTCAATACTGGATCTGGCTGGACCTAGAAGAGTTGATTTGCTGGGTCAGTAAACACTATTATCCCAAAGCACAGGGGTCCCCAACTCCCGGACCATGGCCAATTACTGGGACATAGCCTATTCAGAACCGGGCCACGCAAGAGGTAGCCTGATGTATTTATGCAGCTCCACCTGCATGAGCAGCACCCCAAAGGCTTCTCTTCTTTGTTGCATGCTCCCGATGCTCCAAAAGCGGAGCAATGAGACCAGAGGCTGAGTGGGACAAGCGCACCCTGAGGCTGCCTGGCAGGACACCCGGTCTGATTTTGTAGCATCGGGCAGCCTCGGCACAAGGCCACGCCCCCAAAGGCTTTTCTTCTCTGCTCCAAAAGTTCAAATGGGCAAAAGGCTTCAGGGAAGTGATCTCGTGCCGCTTCAGGCCTTCCATTTCTTTGCAAAAGCTTTTGGTGTGGAAAAGCCTGAAGGAACACGAAACCGGGCCCCAAAGTCTTCTCTTCTGTCTTATATGAGTGAAGCTGTACATGCGCACACATGCACGCAGGCACCAACCCACCACTCGCACAGTCCAGTTCCTCTTTCCCTCCCCCAGCCGGGCTACCAAGCCACAAAAGTTGAGGACCGCTGCCTATGCACATTTTGCAACCTTTTTCAAAGATGGCCTTATAATATAATGATGAAACACAGGAGCTGCTGTGGCAATAGAGACAATTACAAGATGTATGGAAGAAGGAGAGAAGGAGTAATACAGGGCCCTACTCTTGTTTTGTAAATAACAGTTTTGTCTACTATTATTAAAACACCAAAATATTCAAATGAACTAAGAATATTGATTTGGAAGTGATTCTCTTGTAAACAATATGTTCATATGTTCAAATTTAGCAATTAAAACAACTTGTTAATTATTTCTTTAATTAAGTTTATTATTATTGCAGCATTTGATGAAGGAAAACTAAGAGTTCTTACCTTTGCTTCTTGAATATATGAAATGCCTTATCACTGGAAAAGTTAGATCGATTGTCAGTTTCTGGTTGAAAAGAAACTGACTGCACATATGAAGGCAACCAGACAGAAACCTGTTAATTGCATATAATGATAAGTAAGCAGTTCTCCATTTCAATATACACTTCTAAGCAAAGTATGCAGAATCTAGCCTTAAAATTGAAATTGCAATCTGTTTTATTTACTATGCCTTAGATTCATTGATAAAACATAAATTTGTAAACTTGTAGCAGTGCAATCAAATGACCAATTTTAAGCACCCTAACCTGCTTTTGTTATTTCACGGGCTGCTCTTATTCTATACTATACTGTAATTCTAATAATCGTATTCCCTTATTCTTGATTTAATTGTAACTGCCATTTACAGGGCAGAGGAAGATTCGTGTGTACCCTTGAAAAAGCTCTATGCACAAAATTATTTCAAGAAAATAAACAAAACAGGTAATACCAACTGAAGATGCAATATTTTTTTCTCTCCGAGAAGTAATTTCTGAACAGTTTTGCAAAGCCCTTCTGATATTTGCCTCATATTACCTTTGCTGTTGTGTTTTCATAGGCTGCCATTAGCCTCTCATGCAAGCCAAGGGAAAAAGATGCAATTCTGTCATTCTCAGCAAGAAGCTTCAGCGTCCCTTTCTCTAAATGAGAAACAATTCTGCCAAGAAAACAGCAATCAAAAAGAAAAGCACATTGTAATATTGTATTGAAATTCAACGAGGATGAATTCCACTATATTGCTACTCTTCATATCCTCTACTGACAGTCTGCATTCTGAGCTCTGTCATCCAATAACCGGAACTATGCTGGGAGCAACATCCTGCCCAAGATTTACCGTAGGAATCTTCAGAAAATCTTTCTTTCCAAATGGGGCTTTGATGCCAAGGGAGAAAGAACAATAGCCATCTTTTCTCTCTTCTGGATGGTTTTTATTGGGTTCTTTATATGCCATGGGGTTCTTTATGGGTTCTTTATATGCCAAGATTGCTGTTATGCCCCTTGTACATTGCCCAGAGTTGTGTGATATAAAGGGATAAATTTATGTTAAAAAATAATCAAAATAATAGGCAAGTTATGCAACCTATGAATGAACAGTTTGAAAGAAATACCAGGTATGGAAGTATCTGCTTTCTTATGAAAGCAGCTAAATCATTGCACTTACTCAAACTGATAATCCAAAACTTGCACAGCAAAGTAAACACAGTTGTGTATACTGTGAAAGTGCTGCCTCTCAATCAAATCTGTAAACAAAATAGGAAAAAAAGCACTTGAAGGAACTCATTCAGGCTGAATTCAGAATTTAAGCTGGTCAAGAACAAAGACACCACTTCCAGGACTGCCATTTACCTTGAACACCTAGGAAAGAATAACTGCTATAAAGCTCTTCTCAATAAGTAGCATCCACTGCTCGGAATTTTTATTTTAAATATTCTTGTTACCCGAATGAGAAAATAAGCCAGAAATCTAGATGTTAAACATGGCTTCCTATTATATATGTATGGGGAAGCTATGGTTAATGATTTTCAAACAATGCATGTTAAACCATAGTTGAAAGCTGCCTTGCCACACAGCATGCCTAGTAAGACCTAAATCATAACTTCTCAGTTTTTTAGATACAGTGAGAAGCTATACTTCTGCACCTTCATAATGAGTAATATTTAAGCTAAAAATAAATTTCTCAGTCCACTTAAATGAAACTTTTCCAAAATCTATTTTGTTTAGTAGAATCCTTCTAACGTTTTCTATCGTATATGCTATAATATACATATCATGTATGACATCCAAGGATTCTTATATCATGTCTGACCTGTATTCTGTTCCATAAATCCCATGTCACTCTCCCTATCTTCTGCAAAGGAAGTTCCCTTTGCTGTTAGCAGCTGCAATACAAAGAAAAGCTCTGAGAAGATATTTGGCACGAGGTTTTCTGCAAAAAAAAGAAAAGTAAACAAGAACAGCAGTCATCCAAAAGGTTCCCTCTGGTGTTCAATACAGATAGTCCTCTTCTTACGAACACAATTGAGTCCAAAGTTTAGGTTGCTAAGTGAAACATTTGTTAAGTGGGTTTTGCCCCATTTTACAACTTTTCTTGCCACAGTTGTTAAGTGAATCATTGCTGTTCTTAAGTTAGCAACACGGTTGTTAAGTGAACCTGGCTTCCCCATTGACTTTGCTTGTCCGAAGATTGCAAAAGGGGAATCACAGGACACAGCAACCATCATAAATATGAACCAGTTGCCTAACATCCTTATCTTAATCACGTGACCATGGGGATGCTGCAAAGGTCGTAAATGTAAAGACTGGTCATATGTCACTTTTTCAGTGCTGTTGTAACTTTGAACAGTCACTCAATGAACTGTTGTAAGTCGAGGACTACCTGTATTTTAAAGAAAAGTACAATCATATCAACCTGGGTTTAGATTAAAAAAAAACTTTCTAATTATAAAAAGGAGCAACATATAATGCCCTTTAAGACATTGGTATCTGTAACTAAAAATAAATTTAAAGTAAGATGCTAGGGTTTATTGGTTTAACCCAATTTTAAAAACTGCTTTAAAACAGACTGGTTTGACTTTCAGGGGAAAAATGTTTGTTTATTTATTTACATTATTTTACACCAAAGTATCAAGGACTTGCACTTGCCTAATGCAAATGGCTGGTAACCTATAACAGTTTCAGAAGCTGCTCTCTGCATAAGAAAGTGGAAAAGGAGAAAAGGAAGTATCTTGAAGAGAAAAGGACTATCCACCTTCAGCTCCAGCTGGACACTTCACCCAAGAGCCTAGTCTCAAGAGAACACAGCCATTAAAAGAATAGTTTCCCTGCATTATAGTCTTTTGTAATAATTCAGGCTTGATAGGATTAATTCATGGCTTGGATTGATCAGAATTTTTCATTTTCATTGAGCAAACTATCTTTCCCAGTCAAACAGAATGACAATTACACAAACACCCTGTTTTGTATAATGCTAAACCATAACTAAGAGACCAAAATGTCACAGAATATGCTAAGATTCCAACCATACCATGGCTGAATATAATATTCCAGAACACAGAACATGGGAAAAATGTAATTGGTTTAGTTTTGGCTTAGCCACTGTTGTTCATAAACCACAATTTATTACGGGTAGTCCTCAAATTACGACAGCAAACCCAATTACTGTCGTTAACTATAATGCAGTGGTCATTAGATGAGGTTCTCCTTGCGACTTCCTGCTGGCTTCTCACATTCAAAATCTCCCCACCAGGCAGCAGCCGTTTACTTCCTGCTGACTTGCTTGCACAGGGCATGCACATGTGCACTGGGGGCTTGAGTGGCGCAGCATGAGTGCAGTGAAGCTTGGGCTGGTTGTTGGGTAGTGGGTAGGCTCAAGTGGTGCATGGGGGCACGGAGGAACTATGACAAGGCTTGGGCAGGTTGCGTGGGAAGGCGAGGGAAGCATGGCTTCAGGAGGATCTTCAGGGGTGCCCTAGTGGCAAGGGAGGTACGGCAAGAGAAGATTGGATAGCGTGAGCAGCAGAGGAGATGCAGCAAGTCTCGGGGAAAGTGCTATAAGGGTGCAAAGGTGGCATTGCAAGGCCAGAACTTCAAAGATTAGTCATAACCACCATTCATTCAGCACCATCATAACATCAAACAGTTGGCCATAAACTACTCAAGAGTCGCAGGAGCGAGTTAGGCAGCAAATAAATTTAATAAATAAATAATAAATAAGTCAAGCCCTGCCTGTAGTAATGACAGTCAATGTATATAATTTGTATGAATTAATTTTAAAAATCTAAGTTGTTCAGAATTCAATTTCTCGGCTTTTCGGGTATGTAATGAGTTATCATTAACAGGATGGCACACAAAACATATAAAAGTTTGGTGTAAGAACTGGATTGTACTTTTATCAGTTACTGTTTTTTCAAAGCAAGATTCATTTGAAATTTCATCTCTGATGAATGTCTATCCAACACATCATCATTCTTGCTCCTCTCTCAAATTAATAGAAATCCCAAGTGTTAATCAGTTTCAATTTTGCTACCTGCTATGCAAATGGAATAAAGCTCAGCTAGGTGTTCCAGCTGTTTTCTGTAAGTCACTTTGTTGACATCAGCTGAGGCTACTGACTGGTTTTCAGTTTGGAGATACACATTCCAACCAACATTAGATTTGGTGGGTGTGCCAGAATCCAGAGATAAACTTAAAGAGGAAGGCGTGTGATGCAATAATTTAGATCTGTAATACAAAAAGAGCAAACAGCCACAGAATTACCAATCATAAAAATACTAAAACATTACCTTCTCGACTGCATCTGCTGGATTATTTCAGACATTTATCCAGAAGATTAAAAAATGCAAAGTCTTTAAGAAACTTATCTTAATACTTTTTAGTGCTGTTTCCTACTGTATTTGTAACAACAGCACGTTTATATAATAACATGGACCAAATCTGAAAATAAGCCCAATTACTTATGAATCTAAAAAAACACCAAGGAGAATATTCAGATCTTGTAATTCAAATTTCTGTTAAATGCAATGAAGAAGTCATTTTAAACATATGTAAGATGTTCGACTTCTTTAAGAAATGGGTATACCACAACTCCCCGCAGCCACTCACCACAGCTAATTCAGTGCGGCCACCTCACCAGGGAAAAACTCACCACAGAACAAGAGTTACACTAATATCAAACAAAAGTGGAATAGAATCATTAAAGAAAGGTTTCCAAAGGAGGGACAAAATCAAACGTGAATGACACAAATTATTTTAAATAATTGAATTGTTGAATTGTCATGCAGCGAGTTGTCCTGTAGTGAGTTGACCATCACAAGTTGTCTCGCAGTGAGTTGGCTGTGACGAGTAGGCTGCAGCGAGTTGTCCCATTCCATTAAGAAATGCCTGAAATCACAGTCAGCCCATAGTGTACCTCTCTCTCTCCCTTTGGGCACCAGATCACTAATTCTATTACCTTTCTTTCTTCAACATCTCTCTTTCTTCCTGAAGGCTTCCTGTAATAGAAGTTAAATTCTTTTCCAGAGAATCAGTCACGTTCTCAGAACTTGCTCCAGACTGAACTTGAGAGTTGCCAACAGGTGTAGAAGTGAAGCATATTTTGGGTTTGGACAGCGTTCTCTCAGTACTCACAGGAGTAGGATTTATTCTTCTTGATGGTGTGGTTTTGCTAAAACCAAAGAAAAAGTTAGTTCAAGAGACAGTAAACCTTTCAATATTTAAGACAAAAGAAGATAGTTTAAGCCAAGGTTCCAATCATACAATATTGTTTCCTAGTGACTAGTAAGTGACTAATAATCTTTTGAGAAATATGTAAATAAGATGTAGCATTCTTTTTCTCCACTCTTTTTCTTTTTTCTTTTTCTCCACTCTGAAGAAACAAACGAATAAATATCCTGTACAGCTTCAGATATTGGAAATAGAATATATCCTTAATGAATATGTTTGCTACATATCATAGTAGCAATTTCCACTGTTTTTGTTTGTGATCATATGAAGAAATACTTTTTATCTATTGCAAATCTACCATAATGCAACTTTATTGCATTATGGTAGATGCAATAGGATTCTAGAACTTTGGAGGAGAAAAATGTTGGTTTCGGTATCCATTTTTTTCAATAGCATGTTTTTTTATAGTTTAATTGCATTCTTCCTTACTCATCTTTTTTTCTACAATATAAAAAAAACCAAAGCAGAGTAAGATTTCATAGTAGAAATTTCTGTAGTCCCTTGAAAGTTTCCTTCTACATCCAGATAATCCAAATCTATGATATTTTGCAGCCATCTACTGGCAACTGGCAAAATACTTTAATAAATTTAATGTATTTATTTTTCAATAAATTAATGCATTACTTTCCAAAAGCTCAATGTAGTCAGCACTTTTCCCTTCAATATTTTTCCATGACAAGCCCGAGAGTCCGCAAACCCAAAGTAACTCATGCCCTAACCTCTAATACCAGTGTTTCTCAACTTGGGAATGTCAAGATGTGTAGACTTCAATTCCCAGTCATCCTGGCTTGCTGGGGAATACTGAGAACTGAGGTCCACACATCTTAAAATTCCCAAGGTTGAATAACATTGTTCTATATGATTATTCTACCAAACATGTATATTTATCAAGAAATAATTTTGCTAATTGAATAGATTTTACATAAAAGGATATAATCATATTCCATGTAATATCACAGGCATCTGATCAATATTTTGGCTTTAGCTATTAAAATGAGCATCTATTAAACACACTCACCTGAAGCAAAGTTGTAGAGAAGAAGAAGGCCATTTAAAGCCTTAGCATTTGTAAGGGCACTGAAACTAGATAATCAACAGAACAATCTTTTTTGCCAGAGTTGTTAAGCAAATCACTGAAATTGCTAAGTGAATCATATGGTCATTAAGTGAATATGGGTTCCCACATTGACTCTGCTTGTAATAAGCTGATTGGGAAGTTTAAAAATGGTGATCACATGACCCTGGAACAGTGCATCTGTCATAAATGAACACCAGTTGGAAGCACCCAAATTTTGATCATGTGACCATGAGTATGCTGCAAAGTTGCAAGTCTGAAAAAATTTTTTTGTGCCACGGTAAGTTCAAACGGTCACTAAATGACTGGCTATAAGTCAAGGAGTACCTGTACATATATTTGAGTGGCATCAACATACAGTATTCATACAGACATTAAATAACAGAGGAGAACCCTGGATCCTGTAGTACAGGGGTGTCAAACTCGATTTCATTGAAGGCCACATCAGGGTTGTTTGATCTCAGAGGTGGCTGAGGGGAGCAGTGAGCGTGGCCAACTCAGCTTCACTCATGTCGGGGGCACCTCTGGTGGCCTTGTGCTAAGGCAGAACTTCCCTGAGATCCTCTCTCCTCCTCGTTATAATCTCCTTCCTTCCTTTTCTTCTTTTTCCTTCCCTCTTCACAGCCTCCCGAGCTCCGTTTTCACTGGCAGAGGGCTGCAGGAGGCTGTTGTGGCCGAAAATGGTGCCCAGGAGGGCTGTGCATGATTCTCCCCAAGCTGCTTTCATTGGCAGAGGGGTGCAGGAGGCCAGCGTGGCAGAAAACACACGGCCATCCCAAGCTAAGTTTTCACTGGCAGAGGGACCGTGTTAGGAATGTAAGTCACCTAATAGCTATTTGGGTTGGAAATATATAAACCAGGATAGACATTTTAATACTGTATCTTTAAGAAAATGCAAAACTGTAATTTGGTGTGGTTTCTCAAACGGCCATAAGATGGAGCCAGAAACCTGGGTTGTCTTAGTCTTAGTCTCAGAAGAAGTCTCAGTGAGTCTGTTTTCCTTCTGTTGGAGAGTACTGCCGTTCCTCCATTTTTCCTAATTGACTGCTATTCATGGATTTGATGTAAGTCTGATACTGAACTGTTTTTGATACTGGACTGTGTTACTGAATTATCCCTAGACTGAAAACTGATGGATTTACCTGTGAATGACTTTGGACTGCTTGTTTTGAACTTTGCTTAACGTTTCTGAAAGTAAAAACCTACATTTACTGTACAGTGTATCTGTGTGCTGTGTGTGTATTATTCCAACACTACTCTCAAATACGTCTCCCTGTATGCGCTCATTCTCCTAATGGGGAATTACCTCAACACAACCACAGGCTGGTCCTTCCAGGGTGGCCCCATGGGCCAGATCTAAGCACCACACAGGCTAGATCCAGCTCACGAGCCTTGAGTTGACACCCCTGCTATAGTACATCACATTGGACAAAACTTTGCTTCAATTCCTGCATTTCTCTAAAAGTTATCTTGCCATCCCAGAAGCAAGACATTTCCTTTTCATCAGAATTACCAAGGAGATTTGAGAACTGAGACTTACTTTATTTTTCCAGTAACACTCATGGGTGGAAACTCCTCCAAATCATGTAAGTTAAGCTGGTCAGATGGTGAACAATTGGAAACAAGATTCATTTCACTCGGTTTCTTCTGTCTCAATGAAGAGAATGGGGAACTTTCACTTTTCACTTCATCATTTGTGTTTCTTCCTACATCATGTCCCATTGGCCGACCAGAACCACTTGTACAATTGCTTCCTTTTCTCCTGCTTCGCCTTATTGGGGCAGCAACAAGAAAACTTCCCAAGTTTGTTTTCTGAGCAAATCGTCTCTCACCGCGAGAAAAAACAGGGCTGGAACCCACACTTGAGCTAGTGCTGAGATCCACTTTTAAAAGATCATTACTGGAATTCAGTTCACTTGACCCATTAACAACAGAAGATCCATGTAATTCTGAAGCAGAAATACTGGTATTTGGAGACTGCAAGCTAGGAGGAACTATATCAAAGAAAAGTTTTCCTCGACAGCTACTAGTATGGAACTTTTTTTCAGATCCAGTCCTTTGGTTCCTATAGTTACTAGAATTTCTCAAGATCTTGGAATTTGGAATTTTAGCAGGAGTAGATGGTCCATGGGTTAATATCTGACTAGTCTGTTCCCTGATGTAGTTCAACAGAAAAGGAACAAAGTCTTTTTGAAGCAACTTAAGGGCAACAAGTTTGGGGTGAATTGGTGTGTCCTGTACAAACAAATCATAGTAAACATTAACTGATTTATTTTAATCTGAATTTTACTTCAGACATGCATGACTTCATGCATTTTTACAAGAACAAGCTGAGTTATGAATTTCTGTTATAAGTATATAAAGCAAAATGAAACCATTTCAAAATCAAATCCCTCAGGTAATCTAAAATGAGAAATTGGAGTCTTATCATAATTTATTAAATAATAACTTCTCATATCAATTGTTTGCCAAATTAACATGGCAACAACATGTGATTGCATATTGTTCTATCAATATACTTTTTTTTTAATTTTGGCATTCAGCTGACAACTTGGAAAGGCACCATCCTGTATATGCTCAGATATTTATATAAAATATTTGTTTATCACAGTGATTTCCACCGATTTTTCTCTTTTTAATGAATGTGAGAATCAAGATTTTATTTTTTCCCTTCATTACTATAGCAATATTATTTTCTACTCTAAAGAAATAGAAATGTGTGGAAGTCAACAAAACAATAAGTATCACAATTTATATCAGACTTTTCAACAGAAGATTGCAAGCTGATGAATATTACTAACTGTCCAAGATACATTCTAATACATAAAAATGCCCTAGGAAAGATTCAATAGAAGCTTGTTTTGGCTGTTTCTACCAGTATTATTAAATCTTGCATAATCAGAATACTTATTTCCTTTGCAAATACATCTGTCTTCTTTTCTGGATAATTTAAGCTTTATATATGAAAATCTTTAAATTTTATTACACTTTCATTAAACTAACCAGAATGAAAACTAAGCATTAGGTTTTTGACCTGGACATTAGTTTCTTGCTCTTTCAATTCACCCCATGTACCTAAATCTTAGCTACAGAAGTTCTCTTGTTACAGAGGACATAGGAACAATGATTTGGGCAAAATGCTAAGGGCATTCCCTCTCATGGTAAATCACTGGTAATTTTAGCCACTTCCATCTGCAGGAGGGGCTAAGCAGGAGCAGAAAGACAGTTATATACTTGCTGATTACAATTATGGAGAATTCCAACTTAATACTTTGTGACCAATGGGCTTAATCCAGAATCTAACTGTTTAGACAGAATGGCTCCTTATATCCACAGAACACTTCTAAATCAGGGGTCCCCAGCCCCAGGTCTGAGGTCTGATACTGCCTGTTGCATGTTGGGAAATGGGCCACGCAAGGGGCGGGCGAGCAGGGGCGTATGCAAAGCTGCATTTGTGCAAGTGGCTCATGTGCAAAAAACCCATGCCCTCCCATCCCACAACCACCAGCATGGGTCCACAAAGCTGGAAAGGTTGGGGACCGCAATTCTAAATCATGAAGAAACTGGTGCAATGGAGGTGGTTTTAATGTTAGTCAATTTCTCTCAAAATGTACTTTCCCGTGTATTTCTTTAATATATTGTAGAAAGATGGCTAGTCTTAACAGAAGTCCTAGTTCTGGGAGTGAAAGAGGGAAAAAATCAATGACATTTACCTTTATTCCTTTTTATTGACATGGATGCTCAGAGCATAATTACATTCAGAAATACTCTCCCCCTAAGGGGGAAAAACTGGATAAAACCCCTCTGAATCAATTTTCTAGCAGAACTCATAACTACCAATAAATAAATAAATAAATAATAAATACCTTGATCCTGCAAGGCAAACTGCAGTCTAAATAAATAACAGGGTAGGAATTACTGAGCAACATCTTGTGAAATGCTAATACTCCTTATTTGCAGGCTTTCTCCCCAGGAGTCTAATTAAATGCTCCCAGAAGGAAAGTTGTCTTCTAAAAGCATTTTTTTTTCAGAAAGTACTCTAAATTACTTCTATTTATTTAGAAAATGTATTACATTTAGTACTATTTTTATGATGCATGCTCAGAAGAGGGACTTCAACTTCAAAGCATTACTATTCAGTTGCTGAAAACTAAAATTTATCCACACATATATCAAGGAAACCAAACATTTATGAACCCTGGATTATATTTACATTTACCCTGGTTTCATAAGTCTTTGTACATCTGGAAAAATTAAGTGTCATGCTCTCTCAAAAGCCTAGGAAGCTAGAAATTGCAGGACCATAATTTCCCTTGGAAATGACATGATTATATAATAATATATAGTAGTGTAGAAATGTTTTGCACTATGGACCATGAGCTTTTGCCTTTGAACAGCATTAAAACAAATTAAGAGCAGTCTAAAAAAGTTCTCAGACTATTAAATCAAGTCTTCTAGGAACAATCTGTTTTGCATTTCAAGTAACGACAATTATATTTTATATATTGAATTATATTCAAATCAGTTTGTGCATTATTAAACATAATAGCAAATTATGATGGCTTTTCAACCCACATTCCTTCTTCCCCTATTTTTGTATCAGAATTTACTAAGCAGTTGTTGTTTTTTTTACATTATCTACTCCAGGATGTCAAACTGGATTTCTTCGAGGGCTGGATCAGCATTGTAGTTCTCCATGGGCCGGGGGGTGGGGGGAGAGAAGGGACAGGTGCCTCCTGTAGCACCCTGACCAAAACAGTGTGCGGGGGCATGTGAGATCCCTCCATGCCCCATCTTCGGCCTAGATGGCCTCCTGCAGCACCCTGCAGGCCAAAGTGGGGGGGGGGGGGGGGGCATTCCTGCACCCCATTTTGACAGCTAGAGGCAGCACAGGCTGGTCCTTTGCTATTTCATTCCTTATTAGAAAGGAAGCTAGAGCCTCTGGCATCCATTGCTGCAAATAAATATCGTTCTAGAGGATTTTAGTTTTGCTTTGCAACATGCAAGTTTCCTATTTGTTTCTTAAACATTTTTTTAATTTGGAGCAGAGAGTCTTTTGAGCATAGAGAAAAGATGTCCAGTCCCTACAGACTTTATTTTGTGTATCTGGGTTTTATTTCTACTTCCTTTAAGTTGCTTTATTGTTAGTTTTAACAATAGGAGCTTTAATAATTAAAATTAAAAAATTAACTGGCACTTCTTAAGCATCTCTAGACCAACAAATGGCATTAAAAATCTTATTAGTTCCCATGCACTACCCAAAATACAAAGGCACTGAACATATAGGCAATCTTTCGAATGACACCAAGAATGCTTTAATCAGCAATGCACTATTTAATTACTGTAATCACAAGAGAGCCTTTTTTAAATATCCGACACAATAACCAGTGTAATAAAAGGACAATAAAATATTAGTTCAAACAGCTGCTTATAAAGGCAATATAATTTGCTTTCCAATTACTGGGAGTTGCTGAACACTGATTTATTCACTGGTTATAGGAAACACTTTTGCAGTTAGGCTGTAATGTTGCTTTAAATTGACCAAGCAAGACACATACATTGCATGTGTGTGTGTGTGTGTGTAGAGACCAAGTACACATGTCCAACATTAATGCTCTAGCCTAAAGAGTGAACTGGTACAAAGAAAACTTCTTTATGCTTAGTTCAGGGATTCTACAGTTCACTTAATAAATTTTCATACCTAAGGAGAATTGTGCTTGTGGGCCCTAGGCCATCTCCTGATGACTTAGATAGCATATTAAAACTGATCCTTGATCAGTAATTCCTAGATTATATTTAAGACTGGCTCCTGCTAAGCTAGACTGATGTGACTGCTTCTGCTAGTTCACATACAACAGTTGTTATCACTTTTTTTTTGTCTGCTGCAGGTGCCAAAGTAACTTGATTGGCTTTGGATACAATGTTACTTGACTCAGTACAGGAGAAGACAATGCCACTGCTTTCTTCCTTTCAGGTAATCCCTGGATTGTTTTGATTTGCCAGGCTACAGGCAAAACTTTTTTTTTTTGGTGAAGAACTCATTCCCACATGCACAAAAGACAGTAGACGCATATGAAATATGGTTTTCATGACATCTGGAAGTCTGGGTGCATCTGCTTGGGAATAAGTTTCCTCTGACTTTTCCCAGCCTTATTTCAAGGGGGAAATGTACCCTCCCCCAAGGAATGGGTTGCAAAGACACTGACCCTCGGGCCAAGCCTGACCTGCAAGCATGTACAGGTCAGGGAAATTGCGGGAAGGCGTGCAGGGGATCTCGGAGTCAGGATTACGCGGTCCCCAACATAAAGACCGGATTCGCACACAATCATGGAGGCCCCAGAGGCGCCCTGCTCCGTAACCTCCAGGGCCGCGCAGGAGGAGCACCTAACAGGCAACGCGAGGCGACTATTCCTGCTTTTTTCCCGCCTTCCTTTTTCGGGGTTTTTGAAGGCGAAGAGGAAACTTCACCGCCCCACCCCCGCCAACTTCCCGCCCCACGGAGGGCTAACTTCAAGAAGCGTCGCTCTCGCCAAAACGGGTTGCGCGTTTTACCTCTTCGGCGCAGCTCTGGCTCGACTTCAGCCACCGCACCACCGCGCCGGCTGCCACCTCGTCCCGCAAGAGCAGCTCCAAAGCAGCCGCCATCCCCCACCGCCTAGAAACTAGAGGCGCCGCTTCTGCAGCCTTTCGGGGTAGGCGCGCAAAACGCACCTCGCTGCAGCCCCCCCGAAGCCGCCCTGAGCAGCAGCGAGGCAGAAGGAGAGGGAGGGAGGGAGGGAGAAGGGGCGGGGACTGTTTCCCCTTCTAACCCGGGGTTACGGCCCAGCACGGGGGGGGGGGGGGGGGGGGGGGGGGGGGGAAGAGACGGATGGGACGCTGGAGGCGCTGGGTTGAGAGGGCGCCGCCCCCTCCCCCCTCTCCGGAAAGGCGGGATCGTAACTCTCAGGGGGAGCAAAAAAAAAAAAAAGAGCGCGCGGGCTCCTGAAGCTGAGAGGCACGATGGGACGTGGCCAGAACCCTCCGGCTCCGGGCAAAGGGGCGGGCAATGAAATGCACGGACGAGTGGAGGAGTCGAAGCCATTTCCCGGCAAACATCCCCATTGGGAGGCGCCGAAGCTTTGGAAGTTGTGGGTTGGTTGGAGCTCACGGCGGGGCGGGCTCAAAGGAGGTCCGCGGCAGCAGGGTTGCCTCACCCACCCCCTCCCTTTCCATGTCAACAAGCGGGGCGCCTGCGCCGGGGGTTTGCGCGTCTTTTCCTCTCATGCGCGGTATTTGCTTTCCGAGCGAGGCCCGGGGTTTGGCCTAGAGCCGGTGGTGCGGCGGGGGCGGCGGCGCGATAAAAAGCGGGCGGCCTCTTCCCCATTGCGGATTCTGGGAGCAGCAGCAGCAGCAGCCCCCTCTCCCACCCCCACCCTCCAGCTGGCGGTTTAGGATGGCGGAAGACTCGCCCAAGCGGCGCAAGGCCAATTTCAACGAAGCGGAGACGGAGGTGCTGATCGAGCAAGTGTTGAAACACGAGCAGGTGCTGTTCGCGGCCGGGCCTGGCCGGGCCTCCCCGGGTCAGAAGCGCAAAGTCTGGGAGCTCATCCGGCACAAAGTGAACCCGGTGGCCGCTTGCCCTCGCGAAGTGGAGGACCTCAAAAAGCGCTGGCGGGACCTGAAGCGCCGCGATCGGAGCAAACTCTGCCGCGTCACCCACGGCGCCGGCGGGGTTGCCCCCCACCCGGCCTCGTTCGGCCTCCTGATGGGCAACGAGGACGCCTCGCCGCCCGACCACCTCCGATCCTATACCTCGGGGCTGCCTGCCCCCAACGAGCCTGTGCCCATCGTCGGGGGCATCGACACCCTGGACCTGCCCAAAGCCTCCTCCGTGTCGGATCTGGGTGAGTTGCAAAAGCGCCGGACCGCAGCCTCTTCCCTTGTCCGGCGGGGTTGCCTTTCTCCCCCACCGCCTTAGCGGGCAACAATCGTCCCCCGTTAATTCGGGGCTTTTTTTTCCCCGCCGTGGAGGAGAACCGTGAAGGGCTCTTGGCCATCCCTTTTAAGTATTGGTGCCGCCCGCAGTTTCTCTTCTTGATACGCCCGGAAGAAAAGCTGCTGGATGCCGTTTGGATAAGAACTAACTCCCATCACTGCAGCAGTTGGCGTTGCGTTGAATGTTTGCGGCTAAAGTTGCGTGTGGGTCAAGAACATCTTGGAAATGGGGTCCTTTGGGTTGAAGAATTGCTTCCAAGCTGATGCTGTAAATATTCCTTAAATAGATAGGAACATTAGGAGTATCCGAATGCAAAAAGTGCCTCCTGCCAATTCAATTTGATTGATGGGAGCTCTTTCCAAGGTAGTTCGACTTTCCATGCAATACCTGAAGATGAAACAGCCTGGAATGATCTATTGGTTGGTTGGTTTTTACTGCTGAGTTCTCTAAAATGAACTAGAAAGTAATAGAAAGTAAAGATGGGATAGCTTACATTTCTCACTTACTGCAGCAGAAATATATTCTTAGTACACATTGAAACTTTAGATCAGGGGTTCCCAACCTGGGGTGCTCGCACCCCCTGGGGGGTGCGAGACGATATTCCAGGGGGTGCGAGAAAAGTCCAGGTAAAAAATAGGATATTGGCTCTATGTTGGCATTTTTATTTATTATGCAATGGATTAACTTTGTTTTCATTTTAGAGTTAAGTATCGTTATTTAGTGGCCGTCACATACATAGCTGAAAAGATTCAATCCTACCATATAGTTAACGTGTTCAGTAGTTCCTAAAGTCTAAATTTAAGGGGGTGCGAGTTTTGAGTGAAATTTCTTTAGGGGTGCGGGGTGAAAAAAAGGTTGGGAACCACTGCTTTAGATAGATTGTGGAATTCAAACTCAGCTAAAATTTTGAATGGACAGGTGCAGAATAAATTGCAGAGCCAATTGTTAGAATATTAGAAACTGGAAGATTCCTGCTTGTATAGGCTTAGAATGAAAAGTTTCAAAGACAGTTGCCAATATCCTTTCCTTTCAGGAAGTATTGCTAGGTTGGAACAGAGTTCAGCGTCTCTTGGTATGATTTTAGATGATTTGCAGTGGATAAACTTAAGGATTTTTGACTCCCCATTATTTATGACTAGTACCAAGACTCTACATGTCTCTCCCACCCCAAGAAAATTGTATCAGTGAAATGTATAAGAGTTGAAATTAATTCAGAATAGATATTTTTTATAAAAGGATAATGAGTATCATTCAGCTAAATCAAACTTTTAAGTGGAGTTTCTTTAGTTTGTAAGAATGTTTCTTCTGCACTAGACTCCACTTCTATTTTTTTTTAAATCTGCGGTCTGAAATCTTTTCTTACACTGAACATCAATTGTACAGGTAGTCCTCAACTTAAAGCCACAATTGAGTACAAAATTTCCATTGCTAAGCAAGACAGTTGTTAAATGAGTTTTGCCCCATTTTACAACCGTCCTTGCCACAGTTATTAAGTAAATCACTGCAGTTGTTAAGTTAGTAATGAATCTGGCTTCCGCATTGAGTTTGCTTGTCAGAAGTTCACAAGATGTGATAACATAACCCTGGGACATTGCAACCATCATAAGTACATGCCAGTTGCCAAGCATCCAAATTTTGATCACATGACCATGAAGGATGCTGCAACATGGTAAGTGTGAAAAACAGTCATAAGTCACTTTTTTCAATGCTGTTGTAACCTTGGACAGTCACTAAACAAATGGTTGTAAGTTGAGGGCTACGTGCATTGATCTGGAATATCTAAGGATGCATTCCAGACTATGTTTCCCCCAAAAATGGGGCTTCATATTTTAAATTAGAAATGGGGGTGGCAGTGCATCTTTGCTCTACTTTTCAATGTACTGCTTATGAGCTATTAATAAACCTGCAAGATTTAATCAATGGAGCAATCAGTGAGATATGTTGAATGAGATATGCAGTACTTCGTATTATTCCACAGAGAATAACATTTGGTTGCATGCATCATATTCTGTGTTGTTCTGCAACAATGCTGTGTTTAAAAACACTTTCCCACAACACGTAATAGACACATTCATACATAATATGGTGTCACTTCTGGCACAATTAGAGTAGGTGGTTTATAGAAGCACAGTACATCAAAATCTACATTCTGTCTTAATGCAGCATCTTTTTGCATAATCATTGATTAAAAAAAAAAACAGTGCCCTCCAGTCAGTGTTCGAGTTCTGGCAACCACCTGGAACAAGTCCTTGCAATTTTCTTGGCAGGATTTCAAAAATGGATTGTATTGCTGCCCGGGGTTAAGAGTGAGTGTGACCCAGCTGGCTTTGTACCTAAGGCAGAACTTGAACTCACAGTTCCCTGGTTTCTAGCCTGACTTTAATTCTGTACCACTTTACAGCTTTGGCATAATACTCTGTAGGTAGGAAAATTGCATAGTTTTGTACAATATTATTTTAAACGGAGGAAATTTTGAGCCTAGTTTTTAATGCACAATGTTAAAACCATCATATTAGTTTTAAAATTTAATTAGCTTTTAAAAATAAAATAAATATTTGCATTTTAAGATATAAAAAACCTTTTCAATAATGTAGAAATTTTTCATCTTGTATGCATAAACAAAAAACCGTAAACAACATTTTTATGCATTTTAAGATATAAACACTTTGAAGTGCTCTTCTCATAACATTTTCTCATTTCTTGGAAGTACAGTAAATAACACAAGTAGGTATTTTGTATAATATAGTATATTTACTTTTGTTTTTTCCCTGTACTCTTGTCAGTTAAATTGTGTTGTTTTAAAAATAGCGTTCTCTGTGCCACTATTCAATTTACAGTTGATCTTTTCATTAATATGTTGCCAGTTGAAACTAGAACTACAGTTGTAAGTAAAGATATCCAGTGAAAACTACATCATTTCAGAATGATTGTAGTCACTTTTTATCTGTTGGTCACATCCAGGCTTAATAGTCAAGAATTCCATTAATAAAGAGATTTAACATTTTATGCCTTTACTTTTAGGATTTACAGATGATCCTGGACCATCCCAACAATCGTGTGTGGAGAAAATAAACCTAAAAGAAGAAATAGTGGTGAAAGTAGTGGAACCAGAAGAAAGCTCAGAAGATATGGCAGTTGTTCCTCCTAGCCAGGAACAGCTCCCTTTTTTGGGGATATCGAATGGAGGCCCTTGTGGAAAAGTAAAAGCCAAAACGAAAACTCAACCCCAGACAGACTCTAATGAAGTTACAGAAGACGATCTCTTACAGATCCAACAGAATCAACTGCATATCATTCAGTCTGGGTTTGATAGCATCAATCATAATCTTCGGTTGCTACACCAAGGAATGCAAGATCTCAACAACAGCCTCAGTGTCATGACACATACGTTAGTTGCTATAAAAAATGTCTATGTGAAAAACAATGCTGGTCCAACTACCTTTGCTACTGTCACTACCCAGACCACCGCAGGATACCTGAGTCCTGGGTCCCCTTTAGTCGAGGACAGAGTTAGGGTACCAGTGGCTGGGAGTAGCAGCAGAAGCAGCAGCTGCAGCTCCAGCTCTATGTCACAAGAACCAGGCCCTTCAGAATTTCCTCGGCCTCCATACAGACCTATTAAGAAGGAGCATTCAAATGGCTGTTACTATTTCTGTTTTGCAGATGTGTAAGACTTGAATACATATAAAGCAACTGTGACATTTGAATAGCTATTCTGTACCCTGCTCCAGCACTGCATCATGGCTAGCAGATTTCTCCGGCTGTTTGTTTCTGATAA